ATACATACACCCATCCATCCATCCATGCATGCATGCATACATGCATGCATACATACATATATACATACACACATGTGTGTGCACACATGCACACATACTTACATACATACCCAAACCAGCAGCAGTGACGACGACGACGACAACAACAACAACAACAGCAGCCGCAGCAACAGCAGCGGCGACAGCAGCAGCGACCACAACACCACGACCACGACCGCGACCACGACCAGCACCAGCACCATCACCAGCAGCAGCAGCAGCATAGCCAGTGCCATGCATGCATGCATGGCATCTGTGCATATGAAGGTAAGTACATACATATGTAGATACATACGTACTTACATACGGACAGACACACAGACACACACACAGACACACACAACATGACAACAGCAGCGACGACGACGACAAGCGACAACAACGTACACTTGAAAAAGGGCACAACAGCATCAGCATTTATGCATACATGCATGCGGGCATGCATGAATGCGGGTACAGATGGTGCCCGTGACTTGTACGCACGTTGTGCATGTTTCTTTGCAGACCTTTGGCACTCAGAATGTAACTAATTTAGGTTCGAGGGCCAACCGAAAAATGTGATCGATCACATATGCATTGCGTATGGCTGCATGTTTTTGCATGTACATATATGGCTATTCACTATGTACTTGCACAGTCTGTAAAACATGATGTGTCTGAGCGGTGTTGGAGCATTTTTCGTCCGAAGCACCATGTTCCTAAATAATTATGTGTGTATGTATGGATGTATGAATATGTATGAATGTATGTCTGTACGTCTGTATGTCTGTATGTCTGTATGTATGTATGTATGTCTTTATATATTTATGAAATTCTGTATGTCTGTACTTTTGCATGCCTACATATATACATACATACATTTATACATACATAAATACATACTTACATACATACATACAAGCATACAGGCATACATGCATATATACACACATACATACATACATACATACATACATACATACATACATACATACATACATGCATGTACATGGAAGTGTTTATGCGACGAGTAATGTCTCATGAAACAAACAATAAGGAACAGTTTGCATTTAAAACAAAGTACGCGGTTGCAGTTCTACACATTTGATAGCAGCGAGGGACCTAACTTTCCCTGAACCACTCGACAAGCATCGCGCTGCGCGAAATTCTGACCAGCAGTAGCCTCAAAGTCTGTCAGCTTGAACCCCAAGCCCAGTATCCCCGAATGCCCTGAGCCCTAAACCCGAGTTCATGCCCACGGTCAAGGTGCGACTTCTAGTACCAGCAGTTGCTTCGGGGTTCTGGGTTTGGGACTTAAGAGCTTCGGAGCTCTGGTTCAAGTCCTCAGGGTTTATGGTTTAGGTCCGCAGGGCTCAGGGTTCAGCCTTTTCAACGAGACGAAGTCTCCCAGCAGATGTCACGATAATTCTGAACCGGTCGCCCCGCCCTAAACCCTAAACCCTAAACCCTAAACCTTAACCGTCTTGGGGTCCGTGCTCTTGACAACGCCCTCCACCCACCTCGGCAGCTCCGGGAGTTCATAGAGGGCAGTAGAGGGGTTCGACTCTGCCAGTAAGGGAATGCGGTTTAGGGTTTAGGGCTTTAGGCTGCTTAACTTAGGGGCTGAGTACCCTAGCCCAAAAAAGGTCAACTTTTTAAGTTATAGTAGGATAACATACACCCAAAAAGGTTAAAGGTTACCTACTCAGCCCCTAAGTTAAGGCTTGATCAGGTTCGGAAGGTCAACGCTTCCTTGGAGTGAGCACCTTTCTCTGCATACCCGCATTTTGAACCCCTTGCAGCCTTAATGTAGGGGCCTTAATGATTAGATTGGGGTTTTGGGGCTCCTTACTATAATTTCGGTCTAGTATACGCCCAAACCCTATTCTAATTGTGAAGGCCCCTACATTGCGGCGGTCGAGCGCTGCATAGTCCGATTGCGGGTTTGGATACCACAGTGTATAACAGTGGGATTGTAGGTTGCAGACAACTAAGGGTCATTCTAAGGGATGCGTACAAGAAGGATCATAGAGAGAGGTCCATATTCGTGTTCCATGTGTTCTGAAGCTCCAATGTCGGATTTCGGTTCTCCTGATGACCATGCCTTGCAAAGCGTGCCATAGGGGCCTGAAGAATTATCTGGAATAGACTACACTGTCATTCTACTAGAAACCTTAATACCCAACGAAACAGTAGTCGCATGCATTCGCAATGATTCAGGCTTCTATAGGGTCTATCAAATAGGATCTCGGGATTTGGGACTTACGGTGCCCGCTTTCGTTTTGACTCAAAGGCTCCAGGGCTGAATGGGTGCCACGATCCCCCCAAGCTGGTAATGTAGGGGCCTTAATATTTGGAATAAGGTTTTTGGCATACTCTACTATAATTATAGTAAGGAACCCCCAAAATAGTATAGGTGATTATTTAGGCTCCTATATTACACACGTAGGGTTCACGGGCTTCTGGCAAATGCTTGACCCGGATCACTTCTCGGAACCATCGAACCCTCAACCGAGACTGCGACTATGCCGAATTGGCCGCTGTCCCTTGTGGCCCAGCGTCCCGGAGGTGCATAACATGCTTGATAGAAGCCTGCAGGCTCGATGGCTTGCGATTTGGGGTGTGGACATAGAGCGGCTGGTAGTCGGCAAGTTTGCCTCTAGAGTTTGGAAAGGGTTCACAGTGCTTTGTATCACCATCAAGGGCGCACTCACCCCGCCATCATGCTCATCCTCAAACGGATCCCCACCATTCTCAGCATCATTGTTCACCTTGGCCTTCACCTTCATAGTAACCAACAAGTGGGCCCCAACAACTGATGGTGACATACATCGCTAACTCGCCAGATGTGAATGCATAACATAGGCGCCGATATAATGCAACCCATAAGGCATGCTATCACATCGCGAAAGGATCCGACAGCACAATACCGCATGGTGCCTCCTAAGCCTTGTGCACAGCATGCAAGTACCAGTGTTCCTACATGCAAACACAACCATGTACATGAGCGCCCAGACACCCAGATTCTTGTCCGGATATATGTATGCATGCCTGCAGACCGGTAGGCAAACAGGCGGATAGACAAACATATGAAGATGCATGAGTAGGTGCATGCCTCACCATTTCCGTACCAAACTAGACATAACCCATTGCGCAGATTGTGAAAATGCACGCATATACATACATACACACATACACACATCCGTCCATCCATCCATCCATCCATCCCTCCGTCCATCCATCCATCCATCCATCCTTCCATCCATCCATGCATCCACACATGCATGCATGCATGCATGCATGCATGCATGCATACATACATGCATACATATAAACATACATACATGCATGCATACACGCATACATACACACAGAGACAAGGACACAGACAGTCTATCGTAGGCACAGCCACGGGCAACATGAGATACAACAATGACAACAATGTGGCGTTTACGTTTACCTGAAAGATCCATGCGGCATATGTATGAGTGACTGCAGGCATGCATACTTGCATCCACATGAGTGACTGTTATCTGTTTACATACAGGTTCGGAAGCACGAGGGTCTCGGGTTCGGACTAGAAGAAGTGTTCAAGTCACGAGATATTCAAGTTGCATAAATGGCAATAGGGGCCTGAATCATTTCCCAGCCATCTCATCACCCTAGAACTTCTAACCCGAACCTTAAGCCCTGAACTCGACAACTCAAACCAAAAAGCTCAACACCCCAAACTCCACCGTCAATTTTCAAGGCTTAGGGCCTTTGTTGCTGGGGCATCATCTTAACCCGGGCCCCATGAAGTGTTGACCCTTCGCGCCTAGGGGAGCACCGTCGGAGGAGCGGGGCACGGGATGCCCTCGTATGCACCGTGAGAACCAGGGCCGCAATACCGGCACTGCTCCTGACTGCACTGTAGAGCTCCAAAAAGACGGGTTCATTTGGGGGTTTGTATAGGGTTTGGCGGGATTCTATACGCTTTTGGCCGCGCTTTGGGGATGTAGGGGTTTCAGGCTTTCTGGCTTCAGTCTCACACTCACACAAAAACTCTCGATGCCCCTTGTAGCGGGCCGTTTCGGCTTAGGGTGTGTAGAGTAGAACGAGAGACTGCTCACTGTTAAGTTAGAGGTGCAGGTTTTGACCAGTTTTCTGTTGAAACAGCTCCTTCACCCAAGTGCTTAGTGACTTGGCAAATTCCCTAAGGTTTCGCTTCGTGCTTGAAGCTTCCACTGGTCTTCAGCGAAACACATCAAACATGATCAGAGGCTCGTGGATGCCGTCCGCAAGGCAGCCCAGAATTCCAATTTTGCAGTTGTTGTCCCAGTAATACGTCTGGGCCGTCCCATGCGGGAACCAGCACCTGCAGCCCGAAAGCGAAACACAGCGCAGAACCACAAACTAGGGTCGCGGGTTTAGGGGACAGAAAGAAAAACGAATCCAACAAAAAGGAAAGCATTTAAAACCCGAAAACAACAAATCCTTACTGCTGACACCTATGTAAACTTGCAAGTTTGCAAGTCGTGAACTCTGCAAAACCCAGCCACTTCTGGACCCTTGAGTTGTCTTGGGATTTTTGCCCAGGTCCACCAAATCGCTCAAACAGGGCTTAGCGTGTACTGATTGAGGGGAACACCAGAGGTTAGTGGGTTCTTGCCAAGGAATGTAATTTCAAGATAGCATAAACATGAGATCATGTTACCATAGCTTCCTATTCTTTGAACTTCTGTTAAATTCCTTGACAAGAACCCTAAACCCTAAACCCTAAAGTATGGTAACTTCACTTATGCTCCTTAACAAGAAGCCAGCTTCGGCTTTAGGGATCTATCCCTAAACCCTATGCCTAAACCCCAAAACTGCAGCAATGCGGTTTTGGGCTTTGGGCCTTTTGGAGTTGGCGGGCTCGACACTCAGAGTTCAAAGTTATTTCGGGGCCTTGCAATTTAGGCTAGGGTTTAGGGTTTAGGATTTAGGGTTTAGGGTTTAGGGTTTAGGGTTTAAGGTTTAGGGTTTAGGGTTTTCGGTTTAGTCCAGAGTTTAGGGTTCAGAAGCCTGTAAGGCTTTCGGCTTGGAAGGCTTCAGATTCAGGACTCAAGGCTGCAGATTCCGAGCCGAGCTGAAGCTTTTCAGCATTTAGGCCTAGACCGCCCGTAAGCCCACAAAAGACCTCTGAAGCCCGAAACCCTAAACCTTAACCCTGAAACCCTGAACCCTAAACCCTAAACCCTAAACCCTAAACCCTAAACCTTAGCCTCTAAACCCTAAACCTTAAACCCCTAAACCCCAAACCCTTAAACCACTAAAACCCCCGAAGAAGAGGCCCTTGCAGGACGAGCTGCTCGTAAGTCGGAATCTCGGGCCGCGCGTATGGCGGACAGCGCACACTTTTGAAAGGGAACATTTCACCTGAGCTCGTGATAAGGTTTAGGGTTTAGGGTGCTAGGAAAGGCATGCGTGCAGTTTAGTTTCAACCATAAGCCCTAAAACCTTCAATCCTAAACCCTAGCATGCCCAAAATCCTAAACACTAAACGGTATTCCCTAAATCTTAAACGTCCGTACGCCTTAGATCCTAAAGCGTGAACCGGAAACGAAGCCCTGAAGCCTAAACAAAACAACCTCAAACCCGAGACTCGACCCCATAGCTCCAAAAGCCGGAAGTCCTAATTAATTTCATTGGGGTTTAGGGTTAGGGTTTTGGGGGTAATGTAGATGGGAGCCTACCGCCAGTAAAGTGAGAGCAAGATGCCGTGTGCATCAACTTCATGACTTGTGTTGCAAACAGACCGGACAAGTTAGACGATGCATTCAAGACATATTCACGATAATATGGACGAGGGGGGTATATGATAGCCTTGCCTTACCATCTTTGGACGATAAGTGGGTACTGCTGCAACTTATTGAAGCCTCAACATTGAGCCCTACCAGCCCTCTCTAAGTCCTACATCAACCCAAAATCCTGAAGCCAAATACCTCAGCAGCTTTCTGCCCTGGGAGCTCAGAAAATGCAGTAACCAAGAGGCCAACAGAGGCTCCAGGCAAAGCCGGCCCAACAGCTTGGGCTTCGGGGGTCCGTGTGGGGTGCATGCAGAGCTACACCGCCAAGAGCTATGCTCCCCTCCCAATCCCTGAACCCTGAACCTTTAACCCTAAGCCCTAAACCGTAAACCCTAAACTGAAAAAACCCTGAACTCTAAAGAGCCTCCTCATCTTCAGACGCCGCGTTGCAGAAGCGGCACTCAATGTGTATCCCGTCAGCATTGCATCCTCCACACAATATGGGTAGTTCTCTAAGTTTGGGTCCGGTTTCAGGTCCCGCAAAATGGTACGGCACCCCTATGAAAAGGACCTTGAAAGGGACCCTAAGCTAGAGAACGACCCATCTGCTTGAGAAGCATAACATCCCAATCCAGAGGCCCTCAAAGCCTTAGCCAAGACGAAAAGCCATAAGAAGCTACCCGCAACTACACCTGAACCCAAGACTCGGGAAAAAGCATGGGTAAGGTAATGCTCTCGATTCAGCAGCCCCCCCTCTCCGCAAAAAGTTGGCAAACATGCAAAAAAAATTGACAAACATACACACACACACACACACAAGACTTACAAAGCTACCTAAAGTTAAGCATAAGATGCCCTCACAGCGTCTCATCGACTCCGTTACCAATGCTTAGCCGAGTAAAACACAGGAGCTCTGATAACATTAAATAAACAGTTCCCAAACGGTACTTATCAGAATCTCCGAGACAACTTCTGGCAGGGCCGGCTACGATGAACCCTGGTATAGAAGTAAACGGCAACAAAGAAGCCTGCAGAACCCCAGAAGAGGCTTTCTTTAGAGGGGCGGTCTATCATAGAAGAAGTATATAACAGGGAATATAGAGGGATGGCATTACAAGTTACATCGAAACCACCAATAAACCCCTGAACCCTAAACCCTCAAACCCTTAATAGCACCCTAAACCCTCAAACCCTCCAACCCCGAACAGTAGAACCCCAAAGCCCGAATCGCTAATCCTGGGCTGCTTGGTACCAAGGGCAGGCCAACAGTCCTAGATGCCCCATTTGGCACGTCGTGTCCCAGTAGTAGGGTGTCACCTGAGCTGAGCTTTCGGGGTTTAATGTAGGGGCCTTAATAATTAGCATAGGGTTTTGGGGCCCATTATGCTATACTTATAATAAGGAACCTCCAAAATAATGTAGGT